ACCGGTAGAATATCATATCGATGATTGTCAAAACAAAATATGAAAAGTTCACAACTACAAATACAATATAATCATATAAATATAAAGTTGTTTTGAAAGTGTAGCTCGGTTAGCAAAGGGGTTGGATGATTTTGTCAGGTGACTTTGTCTAAATAGAAGACAGATCGTGGGTTCAATCTTTCATGGCTAGCCTCAGCCGTTGAGTGAGTCAAAAATTACTCCATCACATTAGTATCTTTAGAGGTATGTTCCGTATCATACTGGTTGAGGTTGCTGGTAAATAATTTTTTTTCTCCCAAATATAATCATATAAATTACCCGAGTTTAGGATATATATATATATATATATATATTAAAAACTTTCAAATCGTGACACTACAAATACATAAAAATCATTCAAACAGTATAAAAAAGTTAATATTGTCCCACCTAGATTTTACAAATTCTTAGTTTGACATCAAAATTAGGCACGTCCTGTATGGTTCAATGGGTCGTGACTCGATCCTTACCAAGTGGGTTGACCCGTAGGACTCTCTTCTACCTAATTATATTACAACAATATTTAATTATATTTTTCAAAATTTTGATTGTGTACTTCGACTTTTAACACTGTAAGTCATTTCCTATTGTTTGAAAATCTTCAAACTTTTAGTCTATGAGTTTGACCATCGTTAAATGCACTTATTGAGTGTCATTTATGTGTAAAAAACATCTCAGTTCATTTAAATAAAAATTATAGATTTTATTTTAGGAATAAATTTTTGGGTTTTGACTTATGGTTATGTTTCATAAATTGTTGTCATGTATTTGTAATAAATTTTTGATGATATTTTGTTAATGATGTTCTTGATAATCTTATAACAATTATCAGAACAAAGAAGGATAAAATGATAATAATGCCTTCACGACTATTAGAGTCTAGAACCAAATTTATAATTTAACACAAAGAATGGGGAATGATTTGTAATTTTAAAACTCGAGGGACGAAATCCAGACACTACAACAAGGTTAAGTTTATAGGACGCTGCCAATTTTAAAGTGTCTGAATAGACTGTTTTATAGAACTCAATTTATAGGATAAAAATATAAAAGATCATTTCTAAAGGGGTTGTAATAAGTTTATAGAACGCTTTTGAACGTTCTAACAAGTTTTTTATGACACTTTAAAAAACAAAGCGTCCCATTAGCTATTTTATATGAATTTTTTTTTAAAAAATGTCTCTTATAAACCCATCTTTTTATAAAACACTTTTTCAAATGGTATCCTATAAAATAGTTAATGTGAGGCTTCGTATTAAAAGTGTCATAAAAAACTTGTTAAAACTTTCAAAAACATCTTAAAAACTTGTTACAACGTCTTTAAATATGACTTTTTCTTGGTCCTATAAAAATTGAGTCATATAAAGCAACATATTACGATGCTTTGAAATTAATGACATTCTATAAACCCGATTTTGTTGTAATGAGAGTTTTAAGAAACCACAAAAACGGAAAAACGTAATTAATCAAATTAACAATGATGAAGGTGGTCCTTGTTCGATCTCACTGGTCTTTTCAAATTGATCCGCAAGGGTAATAAACGTTCATGTGATTTCTTCTTGTAGTGTGATTACCATTTTGATGGAAATGTCGATTATAAGAATTATAAAATCTTTAAACATGACCATCAGTAGAAAACGGATAAAATAATATTTTTTTAATATCCGAAAAATGTTCAAATTTTCTTTGCATTATATGTAAATGAAATTTATTATAATTTTTTAGATGAAGTGAATAATATATTTGTATACGAAAATTAAAGTTGTATAAATGCCCATTAAAAACGCCATTTTTCATTTTCTACGAAGAAATAGGCCTGCAAATGTAATTTCATGCTATAAGTTTATAAACATGTGATGATCAAATCTTTTGATCATAGAATTCAACAATATCCAATCAATTCAATCTTGAGCCAAATAGTATTAAGAAATTCGATCAAGAAATTAGTCATTTCAATTCCATAGGATTTCTTTGTATTATGCAAACCAAACAGACCTTTACGAAGCATTTGTTTTACATAATTGAATTTGATGGAATTGGAATCCATAAAGAAATTGACTTTGAAGGAATAAAATGGAAGTTGAGCAATTAACTACCCGTTTATTTGGTAGGAATTGAAATTTCCATCTTTGTTTGGGAGGGTCTGGGCGGCACATGTGACGATAACATTAGTTGCATGGTGATATTAGTGGTCGGAGGTGGGGTGGTAGCGATAATGACAATAGTAGTGACGTGGTGATATTGATGGTGGATGATGGCGAAGGGGGGTCGCACTCCAAACTCCGTCATCTACCTTGTCCCGCCCATACTACACCGACCATCATGCCATTATTGTCGTCATCACAATTAATGCTGCCATAATCCTCATCACAACCCTCATCCAGCCACCCACATGGGTGGGTGGTGGTTGGGGGTAACTGTGACGACGACAACAGTTGCATGATGGTCGATCGGTGATAGGGGTGGGTGATGGGGTAATAATGACATGGTGGTCAGTGGTGGGTTGGGGTTGTAACAGTGATAGTAGTGGTGGGAAGGTTAGAGAGGTGGTATGACAGTGACAATAGTAGCATGGTTGTGGTTGGGGTAGAAATGTGCAAGGGGGTAGGCTGTGTTAATTAAATTGGATGAAAAAAAGATGAAATTCAACCCGTTCACTTATACCAATGAATGTACAGTCGTTAATTCGTGAAATTCAAAAGATTTAATTTATTTAAATATGTAAACCGAACAAAAAATAAATAAATTATGATCAAATGAATTGAAATTTAATCACAGGAATTGATCATTTCAATTCTATGAAAATCCTTTAAATTCTATGAATCAAACCACACCTTACATAATCATATATATTTACATAAGGCTATTGTTTTAATCTAATATTGTTAAAAACTATTTGTAAATTTTCCATCTGACTTAATTTGAATGTGTATGCTTATGCAACGTTTTTTAGATGGAAATTAAAATAAATAAAAGAAAAGAAAAGAAAAGTTAGTTTTATTTTCTACTTTTCTTGGTGCTTAATTAATGAGTTATAATAACTTGATAAGCAAACACGCAGACAAACTCCAAAAATCATGTACATTATCTTGATGGCCCGCCTTTTTTGAAACCAATTGAATGGAATGTCAAGTTATTATACCCCCACTTTATTTCTTCTACTCATATATATATATATATATATATAATTAAATTATTTTCTTTTTTTTCTCCAATCATAAGAATGGACTTAGAAAGAAAAATATTGTGGTATAATTTATATAGATTAGTTATAGACTAAGACTGTGACTTTGTTTAATTGGGATTAGTCACCTAATCAATATATAATTTAAACCAATAACATCTCCATTTTTCCAAATTTCATCTGTGCTCATCTCTCTCTCTCTCTCTCTCTATATATATATATATATACACTATAGATTCATCGTAAGCACGTATACATGGATCGACGGTAAGAACTGATCGACGTATGTAAATATTTCGGAAAAGGGGTTGCCAGCTTAAGTTAGGCAGAAAGCCATAGAGATGAACTTGCTTTGTGTTTATACAACCAAAAGAAGTCAACCATTCCCATCTTTGACTTTCCTTTTTTTTTTTTTTTTGATGGTGTGAAAGGCCTGTGTTTTGATTCTTTGAGCTTGTTTTGCTGAAGAAGAAAAGGGTTTTTGTTTTCTGAATAATTACTTCATGTGAGTGGACTTCTCTCTCCCATTAATTTCTTTTTTTATAATTATAATAATATCCCATTTTTAATCACAATGATGATGTCTGATTGTTTTGAGCTTGACTCTAAAAGTCAAAAGTATATGGAAGTCCCAGGTTTAAATCCTAGTAGGAATAAAAATTCTCTTGTGGCCACAGAGACTCAAATGCGGTGACTCCAGGTTATATGCAAAGCAGGTGGTCGTCTTAGGATTAGTATCGCATAGCGGGTTGGATTGGATATCCAGGTTAATAAAAAAAATCCCATTTTTCTAGTTGCTAATTTTAATTTATTAATTTGTAATTATGAGAATCTGTTGTTATTCAATTTGTGTTTGACATTATGGTCCTTTAGTACAATCTAATTTACATGCATTGTGCTGACGGAAAGCATCATCAATGTTGCGGATTCTAAGATTTAACGTTGTTCTAATTAACCCCAATTTTTCATTTTCTAAATTTAATATTTGTATATAACTTAAATGTCTATTACTGTCAATCATTGTTATTACTTCTATTATTTTATAATAAAGATAATTATTTATTTATTTTTGCTACATTTTGATATTAAAACCATTTTATAATTATAGAAAATAATCAAATAAAGAAGTCATAAATTAATTCCACACAATATACACTTAAACCTTAAAATATCAGTGAATTTGTAACGTTAATTTTTGATGATTGAAAAATCACGAGCCTTTTGATCTCCATAAATAACAAGCAAAGCAAAACTTGCATGAAAAACCTTCGGTCACAAATTTTGAAAAAGAAACTTTAATGCATGTAAAAAGACTTTTATTTTAACTAAAAGTATACAAGTGAAAAAAAAATACAAAAGCTATAATATTTAATGTTTAATAAATTATAACATAAAATTAATTAAACTGAATTTAATGCATATATATTACCTTTATAAACTAGAATTAAAATATTTAAAATAAAAGTAGGGGTAAGTTAACTACAGAAAACGCGCAAGTTGGCCGTTTTAACGGCAACAAAAGTGGCTTTTAATTTTGGTTTCTTCGAGTGGGATCAATCTTATGACGACGTCGTTAACCCATGTGACCTTTCTCATGTTCATTGCATCCCCCCCAACCCCCCCAACCCCTCTTTCTGTATATAACGTATCTATCTATTTCTTCATCTTCAGATTCTACCATTTCCTTTCAATTCTCTCCATTTGATCATTAAGATCAACTCACATGCCAATTTGATCCCAAATACTTCTGAAATTAGCGTCTGATTTGGTGTTGGAGATGGGGTTTATGCGAAATCCGAACACGAGAAGCTCCGATTACTTGGACGGAATGTTGGGCGATTACACAAACACTGCCGGAGGCGGAAAATCGAGCAAGTCGAGACCACAAAAGAGCACGTCGGCTAAACTTGTGACCCTTCTCACTTGCCTACAGTTTGCCTTTGCGGTTTACGCCACTTTCTTGCTCTACTACATGAGCCCTTCAATCGATTTGCGAACACCAAAGCCTGATTTCGCTTGGGCCTCGAAAATCGCACAACAATGGAAGCATTACATTATCCCGCCACATATTATCAGCCGGTACCAAGAATCCGCTTCTAATTTAGTTCTCGAGCCGGAACTCCCCATGATCGCGGCTCCTACTGAAGTTTGTGAGCATGAGAAGATTGAATTCGAACAGAAAAAGTCGAATGATGCACTTATGATCAAGATCAAAAGGGAGCTTTATGATGAAGTGCTTAATTTCCAAAGCAAGAACATGGGTACCGAATCGTTAACCGAGCTAATGGCAATGAAATCGAAATGGGATTTGCATGGGGCCGGAAACATCCCAAAGGTTACCGTCATTTTGAATCACTTCAAGCGGAAAACGCTCTGCTCGCAGCTCGACTCGTTGCTACATCAAACTCTTCCATTTCACCATGTTTGGGTGCTCTCATTCGGAAGCCCAAATGAGCTCGGCCTGAAACGAATTGTCGAAAGCTACAACGACACGAGAATAAGCTTCATTAGTTCGAGTTATGATTTCAAGTATTACGGAAGGTTTCAAATGGCGTTGCAGACGGAAGCCGATCTCGTGTACATTCTGGACGACGACATGATCCCGGGAACCAAAATGCTGGAGATTTTGTCACACGTCGCCGGAACGGAGAAGTACAAGAATTCGGTGTTGGGGAGTATCGGGAGGATTTTGCCGTTCCGGCAGAAGGATTTTACGTTTCCGAGTTACCGGAAATTCAGATCGAAAGAAGCAGGGCTTTATTTGCCTGACCCTGCATATGACATCACGGTTGATAAAATTATTCAGGTTGGTTTATTTTACAAGTTAAATATATGGTTTTTTATTTATATTTTTCAAAATAAAAAATAATACCTTTGCTCGTACATTAATTTTTATACCCGTATAAATTACTTCATTGTTATTTAGTTGCTAAAAATTAATATCACAATTTAAAAATAAGTTATTGCTATAAAACGTAATTATTAAGCATTTAGATAAATAAACTTTGGTTTGAAACAATACTGAAATATAACAAAACACTGTGAATGTACAAAAAATAACGAAACTTCATGCAGAAACATTGTGAATGTTCAATGTTATTTATCTGATCTCACAAAAATAGACCGGTCTCAAATGATCCAAAGTCTTTAAACTTTTATCTTATTTGGACAATATAAATATAAATATAAATGAAAAACACTTATATATCCTTAATCATTGACCCTAACATTTGAAGTAACCATGACAAAAAATGATTCTAATTATTACTTGCATGGTTCAATCAAATTTTCATTTAAACAATGATTTAAAAATTTATATAAGCTTAAATACGTCTACAGGACTTCTAACACATGTTTTCTACATAAAAATTAACTTCATATTAATTTTGTTGTATGTTTAGGTTGATTTTCTTTCGAGCTCTTGGTTCCTTTCCGCAGAGCTCATCAAAACTCTTTTTATCGAGACTCCCTTCACCTTTATGACGGGCGAAGATCTACATCTGAGGTATGTCGATTAGCACATATTAATTTGAATGTTTGGTTTAATAACATATCTCGATTGTTTTCAAACTTAAAATAATGAGCATAATAAATAAATTCAATCATTATCATAATAAATGAATCACAATTATTTTTTAATATAAAATATGTTTCATTTTTACAGAATTTTTCTTTATTAACTAAACGTAATTAAATCGGAGATTATTGTTCGAATCATCAGGTACCTTTAGAATTATTTAAATACGTTATGCCATGGAGTAGTCAACGTTACATGTTTGACTTGCAACCTGCAATGGATTGGGCAGAAATCCAATGAGTTAAATATCTTCATCAAAAACTGAATTTGGGGTGTTTGGGATCGCTTATCTGAAACAATTTACGTTTTTTTATAAAAGTGTTTATCGACTTATTATAAGTTAGAATGCTTTAACTTTTTGAAAAACTTTTTTTTTTACCAGTTTGACACCGATATAAAATGTTTATCCAAACACTAAAAAATATTTATTACCGGTAGCACACCGGAATAAGTCAATAAGTTGTTTTTATAAGCAATCGCAAACACCCCTAAATATAGCTAACAACATATAAAGATATGGTCAAAGACCTTCCAACCTAGTGGTAAAGGTTTGGGCATGACATAGTCATGAACCCGAGTTTGAGCCCTAGGAGGGGAGTATTGGCGACATTTAAGTGAGGCCATGTTTAGCCTCCAAATTTGCCGGGGATTAGTCGGGCTTTGGCCCGGACACCCTTACAAAAAAAAAACATATAAAGATATGTCAAAGACCTTCCAGCCTAGTGGTAAAGGCTTGGGCATGACATAGTCATGAACCCAAGTTCGAGCTCTGGGAGAGGAGTGTTGACGACATTTAAGTAGGGCCATGTTTAGCCTCCAAAAATTGTCGGGGATTAGTCGGGCTTTGGCCCGGACACCCTTACAAAAAAAAAACATATAAAGATATTTTAATAAGCATATAATTTAAAGTATACAAATATTAAAAATAATTTTGATTTATTATATGGAAGCATGCATCTTCGTCTAACTAATACCATTTTACCAAATTATTTGGTCAACTATTTCTTTTTCAATAATACCATTTATTAGAATTATGTCAGCATATGTGTAAAAAAATATATGGATAGTGTTTAAGTTTGTTTTTTTTTAAAGGTTATCGGTTCAAGTTTATTCATGATTATTGAATGGTCCCGAACATTCATAAATATCAAAAATATGTACCTCAATGTATAAAAAGATCATTGATTTATTTGATTTAATTTTTGCAGCTATCAACTTCAGAAGTATAGAAATGCAGGCTCATTTGTGCTACCTGTCGACCCAAAAGATAAGGAAACTTGGGGCGACAGTGAACATAGACTTGCTTATGTATCTGAAACTACTGTTATTTTCAAAGATATAGTTCAAGTCCGAGACGATCAATGGTGGCGAGCCATGTCAACCGGCTACATCACCCAATGGGCTGCAATGAACCCTCAAAAAATCGACGCCCTTTTCTATGCTCATTCGATAGATGAAGTCAAAGCCTTAGCCCCACTCCTCGAGAAATTCCGATCAACCGTCGGGAAAAAAGCTTACATTGCGGTATCGGGAGGTGGGTTTTGTCCGTGTGAGGAAGCCGCTTCCACCTTGCATTGGCCAAAGACGGTGTGTCTAGAGAGGAGATTCAAGATATTCGATTTGGGTGTAGGTGCATTGTCGGGAATTTCAAACTCGGAGGTACCTGTCGTGCAAGCGGTTTATGCCAGTATGAAAGGGTTGATCAAGGTTCATAATCCGAGTGTCGTTATCACCATTGATGATATCGATCCGAATGTGAGGAAAGCGTTGAAGATGGCTACCGAAAGTAATTTGAATAGTTCGACTTTGGTTCATTTGCCTAGACCATCTATTTCGAAGGTTCTTTGGATGGCCGATCTACGATCCACAACATTACCAAGTAAGACTTCTATTTCAAATAGTTCGTTTTCTTTCATTTTTGCAAACAACACAGACACGTATAAGTAGTTTAACAGACTTTTACGTGATACTTTTTTTCTCCAAATAATATGATATAAAAAAGATTAATTAATTGAACGTTCTGTTTTAAAAGTGTTATGAAAAACTTATAATTATGTCCAAAAATATCTTATCAATTTATTGTAACACATTTACAAATGATGCACAAACGTTTGATCATATAAATTTAATTTCTATAAAGCAGTATATCACGAGATATATTGGTTGTAAGAACTTCCGTATAATTATTTGGTATTTTAAACTGAAGTCCTAACTATAAAATTTCTATTATAATGTTTACACATATTTAACGATTTATGAAGTCAATTTTGTCGTAGCTAGCGAGTATATTGATCGTTTCTAACAAACATTACTTGCAGATTGGAACCGGATGACAATCTCTGTAAATATTATAACTCAAAACCGAGTCCACTCGCTAACGAGACTCCTCAGGTCGCTAAAGGACGCGTATTACCTTGGGGATGAGGTCCCAATAAGCTTTAACATGGATAGTCGAGTCGATAACTCAACTCTCAAGCTCGTAAAATCCTTCGAGTGGCCTCATGGTCCGAAAACCCTAAGGCGAAGAATCATTCAAGGAGGTCTTATACGTGCCGTTAGCGAAAGCTGGTATCCATCGTCCGACGACGACTTTGGCCTACTTTTAGAAGACGATATCGAAGTCTCCCCTTACTACTACTTATGGATCAAATACGCGCTTTTAGCGTATCATTACGACCCCCAAATATCGCTCCCCGAACTCGCATCGATCTCGTTATACACACCACGATTGGTTGAAGTTGTCAAAGAAAGACCCAAATGGAATGCCACAGATTACTTCAAACAAATCCATCCAAACACACCTTACCTCCACCAACTTCCCTGCAGTTGGGGTGCAGTCTTTTTCCCTAAACAATGGAGAGAGTTCTACGTTTATATGAACATGAGATTCACCGAAGATCCGAAAAAGAACCCCGTCCAAATCCCGAAATCGAGAACGAACGGATGGCAGGCTTCGTGGAAGAAGTTTTTGATCGATATGATGTATCTTCGAGGGTATGTGAGCTTGTATCCAAATTTTCCAAACCAGATGAGCTTTTCGACGAACCATATGGAACCTGGGGCTCATATCAGTGCTAAAGATAATGTGGTCCGCCATAACAAGACTGATTTCGAGGTTCCATTGTTGAAAGATGATTTCAGAAATTATCTGCCAAATGGGAAGATGCCATCGGCTTCAAAGCTTCCATCTTTGAATCTGTTTAATCAAGCTGTTTCATTGAAGGGGTTAAAGTCAGCTGGATCGAAATTAAGACAAGATGTGCTTAACTGTACTGTTACTGAGGTGGTGATGGTTGATCATGAAACTGGTCTTCCTTCGCATTGTGCAACGTTCTGATCGTCGATCACTTATTATATATCTGGCAGCTGATTCATATTTTTTCTATGTGTTTTTCTTTTAAATATATATTTTGTTGGTTTAATTAATTAACATTTTAATGGTGATTCTTCCGCTGGAATGATGGATTCCCATGTGAATGGAATGGGAATTGGAGGGGAGAAAGAGGAGATACGGATTTGTAAGGAAGGATAAAACTTGTTGAAATTTTAATTACTTTGTATACTTGATTAGCAATGAAAGCCAAAAGTGGCACTCTTGAATTCTCTCTTGCAACTTTGTTAATTTTTTTTTTATTAATATGGATTTTCAATCCGTCATGCGAGCCGACTAATCTCAAAATGATCATCTGTTTTGCAGATAGCCCGAAGTAATTGATTTTGTTATAATAACAAAAAGAGGAAACTACAAATTTGTATAACACTTTTTATTTCTGAAGTTTCAAAATCGAAAGATAACCATCGTGGTTTGTAAAAACGTCTTGATTTGGTTTTTTTTTTTAACAATCATTATATTTTTTTGTTAAATGTATGACATTTTCATTCTTTTATCGATTTTCTTATGAGCAATATTATTTAAAAATCATATAAATTGAAGTTACATAAATATCAATATATTAAAGCATTTTTAAAATATATAGAAAATATTAATTTGTGGGTCCTTATCCCAAGTGTTTGGAAAAATAAAGCGTTAGTTCTTCTGAATAAACATAATGCCGTCGTAATATGAATCGGTGCAATACTACGTGTCGCACCACACGTTTCCGGGAAACGGAAAACCGCGGAGGATTTGAAATCTTGTCTCAAAAGGTAATCGCAAATTTGTAACTCCGACACCAAATTTGAAATATCTGTTTTCTTTCTATCCGACGTTTGATATCAAGAGAGGCAGTCAGGCAGAGATGATTTTCATAAGGTGATATGATTTGTAATAACATTGAGGGTTTTGTTTTGATTTTTGCAGCCTCGATAATTTGCCGTTTCAAAGTCAATCGGAAGATCAACGACCTCCGATAGAATGTTCAAGTTCTGGTAATTGTTTGATTTTTCTCCTTCTTATAATGTATGTTTCTAGGGTTCATAGGATTAAATGGATCGTCTGATGTATGTGCTATTTGGCGACTTGTAACAAGGCTTTGAATCAGTTCGTTTAGTTCAAAATCTTATAATATAGTTCTTGTTTACAACTAGTTTAGGCAATTAGGCTTGCTTAAATTGGAAATGCTATAATAATCACGTTCTTGGTTAAATATTAGAAATCCAATTTGTTTATTGGAAACCCTGAAAGTTATAGAAAGATGAAGTAGAAAGAAATTGGTTGATGCACAATTTTGTAGTCATCTAATGTTCATGCTGTCAATCATACTTGGAACAGCTGGTAATTGAGTGACTGTTTTATCAAGATGTTTGCAGGATTATGGACTGTTTACTACTAGTAGATTAAACGATTAGATTAGTTAGTTTATTATATTAACATATAACTCTCAATAGATAATGTAGATTATTGACTTAAAACTAGTAAAAATGATTTATGATTTATTGAATCATCATCGGTTGTTGTTCATCATCAATGTTTGTTCATCTCTTTTATTTGTTTCCTTGGTGTATATTTTTTTCTTTTTGTTTAATGAAGATACAATTTTGGTTGTCATATTTGTAATTGATGATCTTGTGAAACCACTGGGATTGTTTTCCTGTTAATCCATTTGTTTGAATATCTTACTTATTACCGTAACTGTTTTTGAAGATTTGTTGCCAAAAATGCAATCTTTTCTCTAAGCATGCAAGTGAAAGTACAAATTTTCATTACTGCCTGCTTTATTTATAGGAAATCTATTTTTCTTTATTACCATTATGCATCTTTCATATGTTACTTTGGTTAATCTGTATGCTACATGGTGATTTTAGTATTTCTGATATTCTCTCACTGTCATTTGCTTCCATGAGCTTGAGATGAATAATCAATATTTATACATATGCTAAAATATTTCTTTTGACGTGACGGTACCTATAATGAGCATCACTTACTCTCAGGGGTTCTCAAGAACAACAAGCTGATCCAAGGCCACCGGAAGTTTCTACAAACTCATTGTATCCTCCATCTGGAGTGACTTCGCCAAGTTCTTCTCGGCCCACAACTCCTAATAGCAGCAATTCTAACAGTTTCACACAAAGACCTGAAGAGCAACCTCAATTCTCATCTCATGTTCCTCCTGCAGAGGCTGCTGCCATAATTGTTTATCTAAAAGACAAAAGGTAACCTTTTTGGGAAGCAGATCCGTCCCCAAAATTACAGAAAATATGAACTGACTGAAAGAAGTAAATGCCCAAATTTACCATCTTTATCCTCATTGTTGACATATTGAGGCAACCTAGACGCAAGTCTACACAAAAGTTGATTTTCAACAATACTTAACCTAGTTGTCCTCATATGAAAATTGAACACCATTATTTTGTTTGTCATAAAGTGAGAAGCCGGGGGTTTCCTCGGTAACCTCTATCTCTTTGTCCGCTGACCCTACTTCCTGGTGGAATATATTAGGTTTGTTTGGTTTCTTTGTCTTAAAGCAAGTGTTATTTTAGGTTTTAGAGAGTCAACTAGTCAAGTGGACTATTGTCAGCTTCAAAATTGGTATCACTTATCTGATTTTTGAGAACAGATTAAATCAGGAAATGTGCTGGTACTAGTGCATAAATTAAAATTGGTCCAAGAATATGAGGTTTTCAATCGACAATAAAATGTGTTATCAGATGTTTCCTTCTCACATTATGGCCAACCTATTTCTTAAGACTTTGGTGGTACCCATATTGGCAAAAATAAGTGACCATTTCATCGCCTCTTCAAGTTCTTTCTGTTGTTTGACATTGTATTGTCTTGGTATACCTTCCGCCATGAAGCAAGTCACTAAATTGCTGTTTGTAAGGGCATTTTTTTTACAAGTTATCATTTTGATTTTTGGTGATGAAATATGTAGATGTTGTCCAAGTGTTTTTCTTGTGAATATTTTCTACCGAAGAAACCCATCATAGGAAAAACTCTTGACCATGGCTTTAACTCAGATCTTTGATCCAGGAGTGAGATCGACTCCTTAAGGTGCATCGACAAATTGTAGAAGGAATTAAAATGCTAATATTGATGAAATGATAACAAAAGGGTGGGCACTTACAGTTCGCTATCAACCAAAAAGTTCTTGCTCCAAAAGACCCAACTCAGGACCTCTACAATAGCAACTGGCAAGTGCTCGTACAAAGATTGATCACTGATGGAATGCCCCACCTTAACAAAACTAACCTAGAGAATTATAAGATGTGGAAAATTAGATGGGGACTGTCTAGTTTCAGTTGTTTGCTGTGATGTTCCTGCACAGTTACTTTTCCGCTCTCTAACAGGATTTTCCTTTCATATTTGAAATCTAAGCCTCTGAGCTGCATATGACCGCCTTAACTAGGTGCTCATTAACTGAAATGATTTTTGGGAGGTCGTGAATTAAGCCCCATGGTTTAATGCGCGCTGCCACTAATTCGCTTCTAGACCACAGTGTTACCTCCTAGTGCACATGGGGAATAAAGAGACAATTGGCAGTACGTGCAATCCAACTGGACCTTTCTCTTGGATGATGACTTCTCTTTGTGAGCTTCAACGAGATCATTGTCTAAGTGTTCGATATGATGAACTGTTAGGAAGCTACTTCTGCATGTGAAAGAGTTGGTGTTTGGAACTCTGGATCCATCCAAACCTGAAGGCTTCAACCTTGTCATTGTTTTCCTCGGGTCCTAAACTAATTCTTTCTACACTTTTGACTTTTCTCCTAGGGGTTCTCTCACCTAAAATCTTGGCATCTGTATGGTCAACATAGAGATGAAGTCTTTTGTGTCTACATATGGTAAAAAAAAGTGTTCGATATCTTCCATGTGCAATATTTTTCATTAGTTGGTGGTGATGTTTGTGGAAGCACATAGCGATGAAGCTTTTTGTGTCTACATATGGTCAACAAAGGAATTTTTTTTGTCTGTTAGGAAGCGATAATTTTAGCTTTCAATAAGTGTGTTCACTATATTCTAATTGTGTAATTTCATTGATGTAGTGTTGATGAGTTAAGGAAGCTGTTATCTGACGAGGAGGTCTATCAACAATTCTTGCATTCGATTGACCTTGTCAAAACTCCGAATAACGTAAGCTGCAAAACATTCATATTGTGTTCAATTTTTGTTTCCTGTGAATAAGTGATGCTTTGTTTTAGGTCTGTGGTCTACCTGTTTAGAATCTAAACAGACAATTCCATTGCTTGTGATGATGATAGATGTCCTAAGTTGATCTCTCATTTCTATCTGATTCTTCTATTTTCATTTATTTGTGGAACAGTTAAGAGATGAACTTCGGGATGAAACTCTGCAGCTTGCTAGTAAGTTTCTGACTTTGATGTGTGACTAAAATTGTAGGAGGGAAATTGATAGAAAATAGCTCAGTGATAAGGTTTCAATTATGCAATTCATAGTGATCTTGAATATGTTAGAAGTCTTCTGAAATGCCTATTTTGCAGGGGAAAACTTGGCAAAAGAATCGTGTATGATGGAACTGCGGAACCAGGTGAGTTTTTGAGTTATCTTTCACGTGATTTAAAAGAATCTTCCATTGGTAAAACTAAAAGCAGGGAAAGACTTGAAATTCGGTTGTTATTATGCGATAACTTTTTTTTACTGGGTTGGGTTTAGACTTGTATATAAGCCTTCATGGAAACAGCCGCTTTGCTCTTTGGGTGGGATATACCGGGCTGGTTCAGTTTAAACTTGTATATATACCACCTACACATATCGTATCACTTCACTTTTTGTAGAATCTTTGAATCCTAGTATTCACATACCACATCTGTGTAAATACATGGTTTCCAAAGGCCAAGGAGTTGGTTGTAAATGTTCTGTTATGGTATAGTGCATGATCATACGTACAACCGAGTTGGCAGCTGCTGAAGAGAAGCTATATGAGCTCAACAAGCGAAAAGCAGAAATCCTCAAATCTTACTCCCCAGCCTCCCTGCTAAACCAGCTTCAAGGTATATATATATATAATATATATAGAGAGAGGGAGGTTCCGGGGAAACCCTCAAAAAATGAAAATTTGAGGAACACTCTGGCAACCATTTATATGGATGGTATGCACATGTGCATACAAGTAATTGAAGTTGTTTCTTGGTTTATATGCACATGTGCATACTGGAGAATTTTTTTAGAAATTACTTGTATGTACATGTGCATACCATCCAGATGAACTGTTACCAGGGTGTTCCTTAGTTTTTCATTTTTTTGTGGTTTTCCCTTGAACCTGATCCTATATGTATATATACATATATAGTGGAGCGATTAAATACAAACCGTCCCAATTTGTACAAACCTTACAAACTAATTACAACCAATCACATAAATCTATTTGTTTTCCTTTTTTTAATTTATAAGAGTATTATGGTCATTTAAATTTACAATAGTTATGTTTGGTAATTGTTTAATTTTAATAGATAAGTTTGGTAACAACATAATATTTATATAAATATGGATGATATATTGATTAGCACAATATTAGCAAAAGATTTAATTGAAGTCCATTATATTTTTTGAAAAAAATCGCCACATGTTAAAAAATGTAGAATAATTTTTGTTTGCAAAATTGCCACTGATTTCCAATGAAACAGCTCAAATTATTCAATGAAACAGGGTAATTTCCAATGAAACAGACTCAAACTGTTCAATAAATAGGGTCATATATGATTGCATCAGGTTCATATGTATAACAGTTGTAATGAAACAGGTTTATATTCATAGATATGTATAACTGTTTGTAATGAAACAAGTTCATATGTATAACAATTTTAATGAAACAGATTCATAGAACATTTTTTTTCCTGTTTTGCCCATCCGTGTCTCCAATATGATTTTTTTTTTTACTTATTTAATTTGTTTCAATCTTGGCCTTTCATAAAAAAAATGGATGGATGTGATTAGTTTATAAGGTTTGTATGAAATGGATGGTTTGTAAAGTAAACCTCCTCTCTCTATCTCTCTCTCTCTTTATATATATATAACATGTTTTTTATTGTCTTGATAGTTTTGCATAAAAATGGTATAAGTTTTGTCTGTGTTTCAGAGTTGATGAATGAGATGGATGAAGAATCCGAAACGGTCCACAAACAGCTTCTTGAAAAGGAGATGGATGTTGCAACTTTCATTCAGAAGTACAAGAAGCTGCGTGTGGATTACCATAAACGCGCTCTCACCCACCTTGCAGCCAAGACTTGTTTGTCGGGTTAACCGGTTTGATTGTTTGGCTAGATTCATGATCGTGAAATTGAACATTACCACGACATTTTGTAATAATCGATTGTTGCATATGTAAATCTTTTGAATTTTTGCAGAACCTAAGTTGCAAGATCGCGATTTAGATAACAATCAGGATACATGATGTCTACACATCTATGCATAAAGTTGGGTTTCGGTGAAAACTCTTCCTTTTCGTGAGAACATGTTCGGAGCCGTTGATCTGTTTTTGTAAAGGAGGGGAGTTTTCGTCTTCGTAAATACCAACTTTATTTGGGATCATCACATCACAAACAAATGCAGTATTCAAACATCCCTATAAGACAACTTAAGAATCATTCTAAATGATGTTTTCAACAATTCGGCGTAGTCAGCTTTCTTTAGAAAGAGGAAATGTTCACCTTCAAAACCTTGTAAAAGACTGTCGCATTTGTGATCGAAATACATGAAACCTGAAAACGATATTTTTCACTATCTGTGGACATTGTTTTAAAGAATGGCATCCATGATATGTCCCTCTTAACATGTATTATAACGTATACTCTATATTGAATGACTCTTTTAAAAAATAATCTAATATGATTTTACATATTCTGGCAAGTATAACCATACGAACTCTCATACATGCAATGGTATCCCACCTGTATTTGTGGGTATATGCACTTTTTTTGGCACGTGTTATTATAAGAAAATTAAATTATTATTGATAGTTAATATAAGAAATTAAGAATGAACATAAAAATAATTTAATAAAAAAATATAAAAATGTTTGAAATTTCAAAAATGAAATCACACACGTATTTGTATTGGGTCAGAACGAAAGCAATTGAATGAGTAAACTTCAAAAGTCATTTCTAGACTTTTTGGCCAATCACAAAATTCTATTTTCGAATTATTTGATCATACATGATTTTATTTTATTTTAAATTTTGATTTATAGATTACTTTCTTTTATCTTAAAATGACTAAGTTACTATTTTGCCCTTCGCCTATAGGCTTTAGGCATGTGTATCACCTAACGGAGTGGCACCAATGGTGTGAGGATAAAAAAGACCAAAATTGTATGAAAAATCAATTATATATATATATATATATATGGGCTTAATCAAATGAGAACTGAGTTGTTTGTGGTAACTGTAAGAACCAATTTCAACCACACATTTTAAATATCAATGGTTAAAATTGAAAAGAATCTTAATTAATGTGATTCCAAAATTAGATTAATGACATTTAATGAGATAATAAAAAAAGGCAAAATGGTCAAATTAGATTAATGATATTTAATGAGATAATAAAAAAAGGGCAAAATGGTCAAATTAGATTAATGATATTTAATGAGATAATAAAAAAGGGCAAAATTAGATTAGCTTTCCATAATGGCTCAAAGTATTTCCTGCTTGTTTAAATAATGAAAATCAATTTAAAATCATGTTTTTGTTCTCTTAAAGCAAGGATAATCATTGGACTTGAGGAGTACTTGCTACCGTATGTATCTGACACCTTAGTATCTGATGTACATTTGCATCACCAAAAACTCGTTGTTTTTTTATATGTAAATTCAAAACAGTAAGATGTACCACATGTTACCACAGACATAGATATCACATATGTTTGCATTTCCAAACTGTTTGCACAGAAACATTAATCATTGTGGTATCCATGAATTATTTAGGTACCACACGAAACCACAACCTTTGGTAAATGAAAATGTACC